AAAGTCGGTCAGGAACTGGCCTGATTTCGGATGACTGGGGCAGTAAAGGATAAATAGTGCCAAAAAAATTCCTGAAGAACTTTTGCTTCTAGAATGACCTTCAATTCCAATTGCACTTCAAGCGGCTTGAATATAGAGCCTCTGAGCATCACTTCTCATCGTATGCTGCCTTAGAAAAAAATGACCATTACGAGCGGAGGCAGACGCATACAGATAGATCGCCTGCCTTTCTACCACTCTTTCGAAATGTTCACTTAAAGGCTAATTATCACGGACTGCAAGTCGTAAGGCCCAGCGACCTGATGAACAGAAATATCCAGTGTAAAATAGGTTGGCCGACGCCTCGGAGGAAAAAAAGTTAGGAAAGCGGAGAGCAATCCGTAGCGTCTCCTTCCACTATACAGCCTAAGGAAGCGTTCAGACTTCGCGATTGCACGATTCGACGATCGATGCGCTATAGCTTTCGACTGTACCGCATGGCGTCGAACACGCACCCGAAGCGCTGCCTTCGCAAGTCTGATGAGCGCTGCTTGGGGCTCAGGGCGTAGGCGGTCTGAGTCGCGTAGAGGCTTCTCGATCTGTGAATGTAGCCTGCTGTGACTCTGTGACTATCAGCTGTTCGAGTCTTCTCACTGAAGAGACACCGAAGCACGACAGAGTGCTCTCAGCTCCCCTCACGCTCCTCCCAATCCAAGTACCGGAGAGAGCCCGAAAATAGCAAGACGACCGACACACTGTGCGCTGTCGCAGGCCTTTACGCTAGCATGGTGCACTTTGATTCTTTAGGTAATCAACTTGCCTAACCGCCACTGGAGTCACTAACGGTCTACACACCATTCATCAGGCATGACTTTGATTCGTGTGAGGCGAAATGCGCCTTGAAAACGACAAATGGTACGAAAATAATCGCAGAGAAAATGAAATCGTCCATTCAGGCCTTTGTTCTACGGGGACAAATTCTTTTCATCTTTATCCTCGGCCCAGCTCGATTCGCTCCCCGAGGCGTTTACTATGTTGTTAGAGTTCATCAACATCGCTTTATTTTTTTGTTCACCTGTCATCAGGCCTTTCTTATTTTTCTCTTCCGCTACCACTTCATTTTCAGGTGGGTTATTTCTCTGAATTTTTACCAGTTTTCTCATTTCTTTCAATTCCTCCATTTTCCCAGTTCAGAGATGCATCAGTTTTTTTTGTGTATTTAGCACGAAGAAGTTGTCCGATCTTCGAATTTATCTTGGAGCTGTTGGGCTGTTCACAATCTGCTTGATTGTGTCGTTCCTTTATTTACTCTATTCATCAAGCGGCACGGCTTCGTTACATGACGAGGACAAGTTTCCTCAGATGGGCCAAAAATATCCGTAGAACATCTGATCCAACGTATCTGGCTCATCAAGCGGTACGTTTCGCTCTTGTTCTCGCTCTTCTTCAACTCAGTTTCAACGTCCTACCATTAAGGAAACTTTCGCAGCGACCCCACCCCCTTCAAAACTTTCTCTTCTGGTTCAACCTATACTACAACTTACCTATCATCTTCCTATAACTTTGCACCACTCGATTTTTTCCCTATTTCATCCCCCTCCAAACAAATCCCCCCCGGAAGGGAAGAGCGGGGAGAGGGAGGAAGAGGGGATGGTATACAGCTCGCCTGGAACAGATTTCCGCCGAAAGGACGAGGATAGGTGTATACGCACTTGAAGCAAAGTGAAACTGGAAACGAGAAAAGCAACTAAAAGCATTTTCCCACTAGGCAAATAGACCCTCTCCAATGACTCAGATACGTTCCTTCCCCCAAACACCTTCCACCGGAATCCCTAGGGGTACTACAGTCGGTCTTCCGACGGCAGTTGATTAGCCGTCAAAGGGATCGCAGCGGGCGGGGACTTGCCGGCGCGTTGCGACCGCGGCGATCAGCTCCTCCCAGGCTATTTAGCCATTTTCTCCCTAATTTTCACTGTTTTTGGCTCATATGTGTTTTTGGCAGGGGTCGTGACGCGCGGCAGCTGCGTCTACTGCTGATTCAAAAACTGCCCAGATGACGACCGTACATGCCTTGTATATAATTTTGACAACGTAGGTACGGCTTTGTCTCTCCTTCTTCTGAACCATCACAGCTCTTGGAACACCCTTCTTGTCCTCTGATATGGGATCTATTTGAAGATTTCCCCTGTGGATTCATCCGGGATGATTAATTCCAGAAAAAATGCCTGAAGGCACCTCTGCTTAGTGTGATGTCCCTTCAAAACGTTGGGCCGAACCGGGATTCGAACCCGGGACCTCTCGCACCCGAAGCGAGAATCATACCCCTAGACCATCCGGCCACGATAATATCGCTATGGACACATCTCAAGATTTCGCATTTCTTCCCATGCTCATTGTGATAAGGGTTCATGCGCAGCTATACCCTTTTCTCGGACGACGCTCTTCACAAAAACCGTTACTGGGGCCCATAAAACCACTTAAAAAGTACTGGCCAGAGTGGAGATTTCCCAGGGGTTGTTAGGGATTCGAAATGGTTGTCAGAGGGAGTCGAACGTGAAGAGGAAAGGGATAAGGGGGAGGGACACCCAATGTTTTACCCTGTCCCTAAGTGTTAGCTGTGAACGCGTCCATACAGACTTCTGCTTTCAGTTCAGTTCCGGCTCACAGTCTAACCAAATTCCAGGACAGCACCGCGAAAATGTCATCATTGATCTTTTTCATGTATCAGTTAATTGGATTTATTGGAGTTTATGTACTACACGAACTGATATGCTATCGATTGAAATCATCAAAGCACGCTGTTTCTCATTCGAGGACTTTACAAATGGCTCGAGCCATCATCGTCATGGTTAGTCCAGAGAAAAAAAGACCAGATAACACTTCACTGATTCATTAAAAAGTATGTAGATGACGGGATAAGTCAATAAACCCCACCTCTCCTCCACCCTCCATTTAGAAAGCGAAAACCCAGAAAGGGACAAATGAAAAGAGGAAGTCATTCATCGCAACCTTCATGTCTTTAACCCATTCGTGACAATGTCCGCCACTGGTGGACACCGAAATGTCCACTTCGGACCATGTCCACCATATGTGGCGGACGGGCTTTTGATGAAATTTTTAGAAACAGTTCGAGTTCTTCGAGGAACTTTTCCTAGTGGTACAAGTCTTCATACTTTGTTATTTACGCAAAT